CAGAATGTTTTAAAAATTCTCCAAGCAGTAGAATACAGGGGAGTACAAAAGACTCTCCAAATATGTTATTTTTGTTTGCCTGCTCCCACTCCGCCTTCTCCTTTCTTAACAAAAGGGAAATATTTTTGACCCTCTGCCTATTAAGATAAGCTTGCAAGTATATATAAGTGTCAGGTGAAGTATTAGATCAAAAGAGGTTTGAGTAAGAGTGTCAGAGATCATGGACATTGAAGGGGAGCTTCAATGTCCTACACAACACTTTGACCCATGACTTAGATGCACTAAAATTAAATGAATATTTGCTTGATTGCCTAATTATACAATCTACCAAGTTCAGGGTTTTTGGAATACAGGATTTTGATTGGCAGAGAATGCATAAAATGGGAGATCTGCTAATTCCTTTCCGGCAACTAATAATTTTCCTTCTGAAGTTCTTCATCTAATAGGGAAAGAATGTATGCCATCACAGCACTATTTCTTGTTAATCAGAGGTGTAAAGCATGCCACCTTAAGTTTAAAGAACTGCTAACCTCTAGGTTAACAGCACAACTATTTCATACCTATTCGCGGCATCTTTACAGCATTGTACTAAACTAGAATTCAAGCTAGAGAAGTATACAAAGAATTTCATTATTGATGTTGTTATTGTACCAAGTTTTTATCCAGCTTGTGCAGACTCAAATAGGTTAACTGCATTTTAATGTATTCAAATCTCAAAGATATACACTATGATAAAAAGGTACTGACATTCTACCGCATGCCAGCAATTTTTCATAAATTTTATAATGCTTATTTTTAAATTTTTTCCTTGAAAATCAACGAAAACAACATTAAGGAATAGTGCCACTCTAAATATTGATAATTGGGCATTACTGGGAAGTACGAAGTATTTGTATTCCTAGAAATACTCAAATGTACTTCAGAAAGAAAAAAAGTATACAAACAAAAATCTGGTATGCCAGTACTTGCCACACAGTGCTAAGGGTTTCTAGATTTACATTCTTTTATATTTTTTTCCATCCATAAATAGTTTTTAATTTTTATTTTTCATACATTAACAGTAACTTCAAGAAGATAAAAAATATTAATTTTACACATAAATCCCTGTGGGCATACAAATGCATGCTAAGAGGCACACAGTTCTATAACCAGAAATGCAAACAGTGGAACCACCAAACTCTAACAAGCACAAGTCAATTCTAAAGAGAGGGAAAGAATCATGGGGTAGCTTTTGTTAACAATGTACTCACATCCGCATAATGGCCTCTCATATCACAGCGGTTGCATTGTTTTTTCCAGTACAGTCTTTCATGGCACTCTTTAGAACAGTGTCCAGGCAAACAACAATTTAAACAAAATCGGGCAGGACAGCTATTTTGTAGGTGACCCCTTCCTGCACAGAGACAACAAGGTGGAATTTTCTGTGAAACAAATACAAAAAAATTAAATGTCAAAGGGATCTGTGAAATTCAAATTAAGTGAAATACAGAAGGAAATCACTGAGGTCCTACTGAAGTCTATACACAAACATAATTGCCTTGCATAAGAGCCATATCTGAATTTATTTCAATGTATATCCTGCCTTTCTGCACTGCTGCCCAAGGAGGCAATAATAATAATAATAATAATAATAATAATAATAATAATAATAATATAATATAATATAAAAACCACAATTAGAAATAAATAAAGCATAGCAGATAACACCAGAGCAAAATACCAAAAACAGCAAACAAACAATATCTATCAATACCCAAGAAAGCCTTTGTTGCAACCCTGCCAAATATACCACAGATGTTGGTGAAACGTAAGATCCACACTGGGTCAGACCACAGTGGCAAACCAGCTGCCTCAACAAGTGTATGAGTAGAATGGCCCCCACCAGTCCAAGCAACTGGCCGACATAGGCACACTGCCTTTGATACTGGAGGTAGCATGTCGCCCTCAGGACAAATGGCCATTAAAAAGCTTCCCCTCCATTCATTTGTCAAATCCTCTTTCAAGGAAGTCCAAACTAATGGTCATCAATACATCTTGTGGAAGTGGATATTGTAGCTTAACTATGCATTTTGTGAGGACGATCTTCCTTTTATCTGTCCTGAATCTCCCACCAATCAGCTTCATGGGATGACCTGGGGTTCCAGTGTCATAGGAGATGGAGAAAAAAGTCTTCCCCTCCATAACCTGCACAACTTTGTACACCTCCATCATGTTTCCTCTTACTCTTTCTTCTAAGCTGACCAATCTCAGCTGTTGCAACCTTTCCTCACAGGAGAGCTGCTCCAACCCCTTGATCATTTTGGTTGCCCCTTTCTGCCCTTTTTCAAACTGTACAATATCCTTTTTTAAGATGCAGTGGCCAGAACTATGCACAATATTCTAAGTGCAGGAACATCACAGGTTTGTATAAGAGCAGTAACATAATTGTAGTTTTACTTCCAATTCTTTTCCTCATTGTGGCTAGACAGAGTTTGCCTTTTTCACAGCAACCATTTATGGGGTCAACATCTTCAGCAAGCAATCTTCTAAAACCCTGAAATCCCTTTCTTGGTCAGTCACTGCTAGCTCAGATCTCATCAGTTTATATTTAATGTGAGAATTTTTTGCCCCAAAGTGTATTACTTTACACTTGCTTACACTAAACTGCATTGTCCATTTTAATGAGCATTCTCCCATTCTGAAGAAATCTCTTTGGAGCTCATTACAATTCTTTTTGGTTTTATATGGGTTTTTGTAAGCCATTTTGTTATTTTTATAGAAAGGTTTGGTATTAATACTGGAATGAGATTATTACAGTTACACACACGCTACATAAAACAGGCTAGAGTCCAATGAAAGAATCTGACTAGATAATCACTACAGCAGCAGCCTGGGGGTTAAAGTTGGACCCATGGTGCTAAGAGCTTTATTAAAGACAATGCCTGTATGTACAGTTCCCAGTGTGTCCAACATGGGATTGTATCTCTGAAAAGTGATTCAGGAAGGATTAAACCTGTCTTGGCAACACTTGGGCATGGTCCTATTCATCACATGCTGAGGAGGACTTCCACATCTCCAGTATTCAAACTGGAATCCAAACCCCTTACAGCTAGTGAAAGCCTGCAATAAGAAGCTTGTTTTGTTGCCAGCTGGAGAATGAGTCAATGAGAATATAATGTCTAAAATATAAATATTCAAATGAAATATAGCCCAAGTCTTAAACACATGCAACATTCCCACATTGGATAATACCAGCACATTCCAATGAGAGATCATCACTATTCTTTATCATTTATGTACTGTATGATCCACTTTGGGCTCTGTACCTGCATGTAAAGTTCTCAGGGTACAAGCAGCACACAGGGTCAATGGGAGGTACGTACAAGCTTGTGATATGACTGCGTAGCTTGTGATATGACTAAAGACCCAGGTGATGGTGGCTTTATAACACAACCAAATCTCCTGTTTCCTCTACACCCGTTATCCTCTCTGCACATGTACTTATATGGGAGAAAGAGGAAACAAGCCTTCAGTGAACAAGTGGGAATTCTCAGCCTGTGTGGGGTGGAGAATGCCCATGGCATATTGCTAAAATCACTCACGAAAGCACTCAAACTGTTTCCTCTGAGTCCAACCCATGGGAATCACTCTTCCCCTCAGGGCAACATGCCTTTTTGACTACATGCAATACGCCTCTGAATGCCTGTTAGTAGTGAACATGAACAGAAAGCGATCATGTCCTGCTTGTGGGCATCCTATAGGCATCTGGTAGGCATTGTGGCAACATAGTGCTGGACTTGATGGACCCTGGTCTGATCCAGACACTGGCTAAGCTTTTCTTACATTGCCATGACTAACCCCTAATCAGGAGAAGTCAGTGATGATCCCTAGGACAAAGTTACTTTGTCAGTTGCCAAACTTCAAACTGAGGGTAGATTTTATACTTCCCTACTCCAGTTCTCAAAATGGCCTTCCAGCACAATTATTTCTTTAAAGTCTGAAAGCTGTCAGCTAACCATGACAGGATAAATTGTTCTCTTCAGAGACAAATCAGAGTGTTATACCTACCTTTGGGTTAGGACAATTTTTTGATAAATGACCTCGTTTATCACAATTTCTGCAAGTGACATTTTTGTCTGGCATATAGTATCTGATGTTATGTCGCACTGTAACATAGTTGCCAATCTGTGCCTAAAGAAACAAAAGGAAAATTATTAAATGTTCAGAGAGCTTTGGCTTTGGGACAGCATAGGGGTGAAATTAATGAATTAATGTTTATAACTTCTTGTTCTGTCATCCTAGATTTTACAGCTGTCAGGACAGGTATGTGGAGGCAAAAATCCAATTGTGTATTTTTATAGTTTTTAAAACATCACCTAAAGCCTTGGTAAGCCTCCAATTCATCCAGCAGAGGATGAACACCTTTTTAAAAAGTGTTTTTCTTATTTCACCCTTGTTCCTCATTATTTCCCAATAAAATGCTCTGCAAAATAAATGAAAAAATGAGTGCAAAAATGACTGTATAGCAATAAATTCATACAGAATAAATTAATATTCTATCAAAGCACTTTAATACAGGGGTGCATGAATGAATAATGATCCATGAGAAAACATCAGCAAAATGGTAAAAACCTTGGTCTTATCTATATCCCAGAAATGTGTTGGTGTGTCTATGCTTTAGCATGCTTAAAATATTAGAACCGAACTTGAAATCAAGAGTTTAAAATGTGAGTTATTTTTCTTATGTTTGTTATTTTCTTTAGACCATCCATAATATGATTCTGCAGTGTGACATGGTGCTTCCTTATTTATTTGGCTGATGCAGTGTAGTCAATGGCAGTAATGGGCACCTACTGCCTTTCTAATACAGAAGACTACAATTGACAGTGACCATGTTATTCAATTAGAGGAGCACATACTTGCACCAGCTATTTGTGAGTGAAGCTAAAGGTCAGGGAAACCAGTGCACAGATGGTGTGTGAGCTGATACACTACTGTAATAACAAATTTGGGCATAAGAACCATTGATATCAAACTGAGGAATTTGAAGAATAGATTGCAGTCTTTGGAAAGGCAATGAAAACAGAAGTTCAGAATACTCTGGTAAAATTCTATCTTTATTTTTTTTCCTCTGCAGAGTCTTACTTAGCTACAATTTTTCCTGACTTCTCCATGTGTACCATTTTGCAAGGGCGGCCAAATAAAATATCATTTAAGTATAAAACTGGTGTAAGCTTCCAAATAATTTATCTAAACAATTTCATGGAATATCAGTTGCAATATCATTCATTCATTCATTCATTCATTCATTCCAGTATTTGTGGGTCATTGTGGAAAAAACAGGTTCATAACATGGTAGTGATTACCATGATGATAAAAAATGGGATATTCATAATTACTCTGCTGATCTGCCATGCTTTGGACCTAGATATCTGCCCACTGAGAAGCATAGGCAGAAGCTGACTTACTTGTTCTCGCCTCTCCCTGTCAGCACCAGAGTCTTCCAAAATCTTTTCTCGAAAGAAGCAGGCTGTGACATGAGGATTATGGGGGAAAGATGGCAGAGAACTGAGAATTTTCTAAAATTTCTTTCCCCCTTATTCCATTCCATTTAGCAGGAACTCTCAACCCTTTAAGGAAGCATTTTGAAGGAGCTTTGGGTACTGACAAGTGCCACCTGCAATTTGTACTCCAAAGTAAGCATTTCACTTCCATATGCTCCTCTACCTAGGACTGTCACTCAAGCTGGAGAATAGTTCCCTCCTAATAGTTGTGAGAGAAGACCTCTCTGAGAGGCCTCTTTTCTCCTGATGCCAAGGTCTCTGTGAGATGTCATTTCCCAAGATTACCACAATTGCTGCCAGTGAGGACAAAAAGGAAAGGCACAGTCAGGAATTTAAGGGTATTTTGCGCTCCCAATTATATCAACTGGCTCTTGGAAAAAATGCAACAATGTTTCTTTGCGGGAGGAAAACTGGGCTTGCAGAACCCAAATATGAACAAAGCTCATCACTACTTTCAAGCAGTGTGAGCAGAAAAATTGACATATTACTAAAGTTAAAGATGACATACACAAATACATAGGCATTTTATACAAACACATTACATAGTTTTACCCACATGCATATTTACTATTGTATTTATTTAATTTCTATACCACCCAATAGCCAAAGCTCTCTGGGTAGTTCACAACGCACATTTTATGGGCATGTGCTAGCTGGCACATAGAAAGAAAGAAAACAATGTGCAGCCATGCACTAATTTACCTCTAAGTCTTTATCACTGATGGTCCAGCCTGGTCCACCGTCTCCTGCAAAACAGTTGTTTTGAAAACGGGTAATTCATTAAGGTTGGTTTGCAAAATTTTAAGCATTATAATTTCTCTTTAAAAAGCCAGAAACCTCTTTAAAAATTGTTGAATTTGTTAAAGCTAAATTAAAAGAGAAGAAATTTGCTAATGGCATGCCTGAACTTTCATCACCAAGTGATTCTGTGTCAATGATTTATATCAACTATGTAAACAGTTGTTTTAATATTAGTGCAATAGTTTTTCTGTGTTACAAGAGATGATGTTCCTTGGAAGCTTCCAGGTATTCTTCAAAGAGAAGATTAGTTATGACGGAGAAAGTCACCTGAAAGACAATTTCCTACTACTAACGATCTTCTGTAATCCCAAGAGAAACAATGGACTATAGGGTTGTGCTGTAGAGCAGAAGGGACAAGGGCAGTGGCCAACAGCTCTTCTGAGGTTTATTTTTCATTGCCACAGCATCTACTTTGTTTATTGCTTTACCTTTGGAATGATTACATTTTAATTGTTCAGTTTTGATATTAATTATTTTAAAGCTATCTTTTATATGATTATAAAAAATGGTACATAATGGCCTGGTCAGCATTCCATCCCATACAATTTTACCAAACTGTATGCAGTAGGAAATGTTGCTATTACTCTGATAAACACACAAAAATACACATCTTTAAATTTAACTAACCACATTAGCCACTAGGAAATAAAGCAGGTTTCACATTTTGTGTGGGTTCCATATTCACTGCTTAATCATTTGAAGAAATAACTAATTTACTAAATACTGAAGTCAGATTTTTTAACACACACCGGCAATTTCACTGCACTCAACTCTAACAACAAAACAATGAGGAAAATGTTTACCCAATGAAATTTCAATGTGTTTGAAAAAATTTTTTTTTTCCGATTTATATCCTGCCTTTTTCCTACAAAGGGCTCAAGGCAGCTTACATCATTCTCCTCCTCCATCTTATCCCTACAACAACAACCCTGTGAGGTAGGTTGGGCTGAGAGTCTGTGACTGGCCCAAAGTCACCCAGTTGGCTCCATGGCTGAACGGGGACTAGAACCCAGATCGTCTGAGTCCCATTCCCATGCTCTTAACCACTACACCACACTGGCTCTCATTCTTGAGAGTATCTTTTCCTATAATGCAGAACACTACTTACAATGAGTACAAGAAACAGTGATATATTAAATCAGACTCATAATCTAGTCTGTTGTGTCCCAGACAGATGGATTTGACAAAAGTATGCAGCTCCAAATCCTAATCACCAATCAGCATCCTGAAACAGACTGGCTCATTAAGCTCCATTTTCAATGGCCAACTGATGTGAGAAAAAGGGGGAAAGAAGTGCATAATTCTTCAACTATGGTCCATTTCTGTTTATCTGGCTCTTGTAAGCAGAATTTCCTGGTTCCTGACTCCTGATAGGGAATTAATTCCTAGGCTTCTCTCTACTTGTAGTTGAGTTGATATCAATCACACTATCTTCCCCTTTGGCTTCATGAAGGATTTTACCAAAGCCCTAACCCTACAACTGTTTTGCTGATAGGCTCAGATTTATCCGGCACATGCCCAAAACTGCACAATGTCTATCAAGGGGTAACTAATATTACATATCACAAATTGGTGCAATGAACCATAGGGAAAATTTTATATTACATGACAGTGCCCTATACATCTATAAAGTGCGACTTACTAGTAATATTACTATATGCATTTGCATCAGAGTTGCATTTGTTTCTTGCTCAATTTATTAACAGATTCAATCTTGCACAAAAGAAAAAAAATACTACTTTTCAAAGCTGCCAATAAAACTTCTTGCTAACGAAATGCATATGTCCCACTGAAGCAGCTAGGTAAATGTAAGAGACTCAACTATTGTTCTTGGTATTAGTGGTAGTGAATTAATATGCAGGCTTTCCAGTTACAAGAGGCTCTTGTCAACCCAAAGGCAATATAAGAACCCTGATGGACAAACTCATTCAAACATTTTAATATTGGTGTAATGTGTTTGTGGATGCCCTGTCTTCAAAGTACTATTTGTGTAGCTGCTATAACACTAATTGTTTTATAGCAGCTACACAAACTATCTCCAAGAGTGGCCTCATAGCACTTTACAATATTTATTAATTTATTTATACTTTTTTTTTTTTTTTTTTTACATAGCTTTCAGGTTGCACTGCCCTCACAACCCAGCTTAAAAGATGACAAAAGCAGCAGCACACAAACATCCCCCAGCAGCTGAAAAATGAGGACTGGAATACACCTTCAGGTTTTCTTTGTTTTTTAAAGCCAGTAATGATGAAAATGTATCTCCTTGGGGAGTTCCGAAAGCATAAGGCCACCAGTGAGAAGGCCCTGTGCTTCTTACCTGCCAGTCAAATGGCTTTTGCTGGTGGGCTAGAGGGCACAGCTTTTCATGCTGCCTTCAATGCTTGGGCAGGCTCACGCAGATGTTGGTGGTCCTTCAGAGAACAGAGTCCCAGACCACTCCAGGTTTTAAACGCAAAACCCAGCACCTTGGACTGCACCCAGGAACCATAGGCTGCCAATGCTGCCAATGTAGAAGAGGAGAGATGCGAAGGCTTTACTCCCACACTGTGCAATGCTGTACTAGTTGCTGTTTCCAAACCATCTTCAAGTATAGCTGCCTATGGAGCACGCTGCAGTCACACACCCTGGATGGAGCTATGGCAGGTGCTACTGTAGCTTGGTAAACTCCTCCTTATTTTAACAGGCAGTTAAGTCTTTCAGATTCTGTTGTCCGAAATCTGTTCCTGCTGCTAGCTTTTATTTGATTATTTTTTATGTTATACTGTGGCATTACACTTCTCTATTATATTTTATGGTTTTAATTGTGATGAAAGTCAAGGGAACTTTAGCTGCCGGGTGCTAAAGGATAGTAATAACTGAACAGTTCTTCTTTCTTTAGATAGGGCTGCAGCTACAAAGCCACCCTAAGCTGTAAGCAGCACTCCTAGCAGCTGATGCCACCTGCACAAACAGTGCTGAACCCAGGAACCCTCCCAGGCAGGATACCTAGCTCTTCATGGGGAGCATGACCTCATCTGCAGGCAGATCCAAATTACCATCCAGGTGAGTGTATTTCACAACCCATAGCACTTCTGTCTTGTGCAGATTAAATTTAAGCTTGTGAACTTTCCTTCATTCCAGCACTGCCCCCAGGCAGCAGTAATCAAGCTTGGATATAACTAGTACATAGACCTGTGTAGTTCAACACCCTGTTTCCCACAGTTGCCTTCCAGGTGCAAGTCACAATTAGGGGACCAGTCTTCTGCTGGCTTTTCCCAGCAACATCTGGTATTCAGAACTAGGTTGCCACTGATCCAGAAGGCAGCACACAACTGTCACAACTATGACAGCCACTTCTAGCCTCTCTCAGACAAAGCCCAGTTCAAAGCTATCTAATTTAGTGGCCATCACCACATCCTGAGTAAAGAAAATTCCAAAACTAAACTATGTGCTGTGTGAACAAGTTCTTGTTTCTTCTGAATCTTCCACCATTTGATTGGGAGTTCAATTGGACAACTGTTCTTTCTAGTATTGGGGGAGAGAGAGCACTTATCTACTTTTCCAGCCCACTCTATAACAAAATTGTGAAGGTAGCCCTGTTTCTGGCAAGGATTCTCACCAACACAAGCATATTCAGGCAAGCTAATAACCTTCTTTGCCTTATACATACAGTAAACATTTACTACCACCATTCTGCTTCATTAAGATTTCTGTGCAGCTTGGAAATCATATATACATTCACCAACAAAAAATGGAACAAAGAACATATACAGAAACAGCACTACCATCATTTTATACATTCAAGTAATTAGTCCAATAAAACCTAACAGTGTGTACATTGTACCACAAAGCACTGGTGACATTTCTTTCCACAACACCATTTCTGTAAGCCCTTTGGCCATGTAACATGCTTTCCAAGTACTGCATGGTCTTTTCTCTTAATTTACCCCAATTTACTTACATCTTCCTAAATATGTAAATTGAAGCTTAAGATGCAACAGTAAAGTGCAGGTATTTCTTCCTATTTGCATGCCATACTACCATCAAACTTTGATTTTGGAGGAAACATTTATTTTAAAGGAAGCATATGCTGATCAGCTGTTTATATAGTACTTAACTTTAACAACTATTTTACATGTCAAAATGCGCATTTTATCTCAGCACGGCTATTCAGTCATCCCACATTTCATTATCTGCATTTTATTTTGTGACTCTGTTTGATCTTCTTTGGAATTAATTTTGTGGCTTACAGACCGGTTCTCTAAAGTATCAAGTTCATTCCAATCCAAAACCCTATCCTCCAAAGCATTTACAATCAAATTTTGCTAGTTTACTTATGAGAATGTCATGTGGAACTGTGTCAAAATCACTGCTAAATTTGATTATGCTGAAGATTATATCTACTGCATTCCCTTTATCCACTAAACCACTTACCTTATAAAAGACAGATTAGTCTGAACTGGCATGTATTTCTTAAATTCATAGTATATACTAGCAACCATCTCTGAATTCTCCCTCAGACAAATCTTGCAGAGTAAAAAATAACAGAACAAAAATATTCTATTAAGCAGGATAAAAGATAGATTGGCCCAAGCAGAAGGCTTCTTTATAGCTACCCATACAACGTGGCATAAACACCATGTCAAGAGTTTGTGCAAAGTGGTTAAAATTCTTCCAATACTTTCATATAGGGTGCAATACTTGCAACTGGATGCATTCATGTATAGCTACTCAACATTACTTCTTCAGTATGCATACTGTCAGCTGCTATGGTTTCCAAAGAAATTCCTTGGACAAATCATTTTTTGCATATTTGAGGTGGCCTTTGAAAAATTCCCATGAAACATACACATTTTTTTTAGTTAGAATTTGTACTCTGTAAGGTTGCTCAAAGATGGTTGTGTGTACTGGATACTGAATCCAATTTACAGACTCTTTTGAACAAGTTGTATTATCAGTACTTGGA